GGAAGGAAGGAAGGAAGGAAGGAAGGAAGGAAGGAAGGAAGGAAGGACCTTTAGGTTGTAAGGATTATCACCAAAAAGAGAAAAAGGAAAGAAAGAGCCAAGGGCTAATGATGACTCAGGACAGCCCACACACTGCTCTGCCCCCGTGTCCTGGGAGATGGCAGGCTTAGCTCTCTGCCTTCTTGGAGTAGCCAAATTGAACTTGACTTCATCAGACCATGAGAACCTTCAGGGTCAGACAGTGTTCCTGGGTCTGAGAGCCCCGGGGAGCTGACCTTACGAGCATTCAAAGGCCAAGCTCTCCAACAACATGGGAGATCACATGTGCTCTATGAGGTCAGTGCCTGCAAGTGACAGCCATGCCCTGGGCACCATACTCATAGGCCAGGCTCTGTCTGGTGGCATCATGCCCTTATGGCATCTTGATATCAACTCTGATATCCCTCTCCTGAGAAGAAAGGTAGTGGCTAATGAAAATTTGTCCCTGTGGCAGCCACAGGGGGGAGGAGGAGAGCTTGAGGAACTGCAAATGGGGGAGGCAGTCCCCATGATCTTCCACGCTCGCAAGGCCAAACCAAGCCATGGTCAGGCCTGTGGGGGTGCTTATCTACGCAGTGAGCTCTAGGGAGGTAACTTCTATCTCCTCATGCTGGGGCTGTTGAGCCAGTGCTGTATGTGGAGTCTAGAAAAGAGAGCCGCAGGAGCACCTGTACGCCATGAGAACCATCAAGGTCCTGTTTGGGGGTACCACCTGTAACCTTTACATGATACATTATGGGAGGTCCACCCCCACTTGTTAGTTCTCTTTTTGTAAAGAAAGCAGATTGTAGTCAACTGTAAGACAATAAACAGCCATGGTTCTGAGAGAAGCCTCTGGTGAAATCAATCTGCTGTCCCCAGTGTTGAATAGGGGACCTGCAGCAGGTGGTGGGCTAGGGTGGCCATGGGGAACAGCACTGAGTGGGGAGCTCTGCATTTGCGCCTTGTCTGTTCTGAGTCTCCTCATCTCACCCAGTGCTTCGTTTAGAACCCCATGGAAGCTGCAGGTGCTGAGTCTTCTGAGCTCTCTTCACTCACTCACTCACTCGTTCATCTGTGTGTACTTCAGTGTGGACCAGTGCATCCTGGCCACCAGGAAAAACACAGTTTGTATAAAACCCTTCCAAGCATGACCAGTGCTCTAGTCCTTCCAGTAACAGGGTAAACTCAGCTGGCATGGATGGTCCTTCTCAAAGGAACCAAGGAACACCAACAGTGCCCATGGCCTAGAGAAGAGAAACACCACATGGAAAGGGTGAGTGGCCTCTGAGCCCAGGAGAGGTCTGAGTGCATGCAGACACAGCCTTTCTCATGGGGTTTAGGATGCTGAGACAGTCCAGGTATAGAGATCAGGGCCTGCGCTGGAGGGGGTACAAAGCAGAGTACATTATGTATAAGACATCAAAACCTCAGACATGCCCCACTGAGGCTGTAGAATATAAATTATATACTCTATCTTGTCCTGAAAGCCATGAATAAAGAAGCCACAAATCCAGGAAGCCTCGAGGCAGACACTTACGTATAGATTAGAACAAAATGAAGGGACTGGAGAGACGGCTCAGTGGTTAACAGCACACGCCCTGCTCTTCTAGAGTAACAGAGTTCATTTCGGTTACCACCACCTATATCAGGTATAAAGTGCTGTCCTGGTTGGGATCCCAGCGATACCAGGGGAAGTTGTTAAGTCTAAATCCGCCATGCTGTGTAGTTAACAATACTGCTTCATTGAGTACCCTTTTATGTAGACATTATGGCCTGGGGCCTGAAGAGTGGGCTCAGTGTTGAAAGCTTCCCAACCCGAGTTAGATCCCAGGCACCCGCATGAGAAGCAGGGCAGGGTGGCATGCACGTCCATAATCCTAGAGTGGGGGCTGGAGACAGGTGGATCCTGGATTGCACTGGCCAGCCAGTATAGCAGACAGTATGAGCTGGAGGCTCACTGAGAGACCCTGCCTTTAAAAACAAAACGAAACGAAACAAAAATAATAATAAGGTGGCGAGCAACTGAGGAAAGTACCTGGAATCCACTTCGCAGCTCTATGCATGTACTCACAAAAAGAACCCGGCAGCTGGATAGGAGGCTTGCAGCACATGTCTGTCTGGTCTTGGAACGTCTCCACGTAGCTGGAGATAATCTAAAGAAAATGATTTATTTCAAGCTTGCAAAAAGGAGGATGCCTTTTAACATTTAGTGAAAAATAGAAATACAACACAAGAAAGTAGTTTTGCAGCCAAACAGGAAGATCTGAAAAGACCCAATGCAAATACTAATAAAGAGAGAGCAGATGCTGCAGTTACAGCAGCAGAGTGAGCCTTGAGGCGGGGAACCAAGAAAAGAGTAGAGGAATATTTTATGAAAAGGGCGCAAACTCCAGGATGATTGTGGTAGGCATGTGTTTCTATGTACCTGGCAGCACCAGCTCAGATGGTTTAAAAGCAAAACAGGTCCAAACTGTGGGGTGAGAAAGCTACAGCCACAATCCTGCTGGGAGCAGTGTCTCTTTTTGAGGCTTGTTAGCATGGCAGGATTGAGCATCTGAGCCAGAGTCCTCCTTCTTTGATTAGCTTCCTTAGGTGTACAGATTTTAGTATGTTTAGCCTATATTATATACTAATATCCACTTATGAGTGAGTATATACCCTGTGTGTCTTTCTCCTTCTGGGATACCTCACTTAGGATGATCTTTTCCAGTTCCCACCATTTACCTGCAAATTTCACAATTTCCTTGTTTTTTATTACTGAGTAATATTCCATTGTGTAGATGTACCACAATTTCTGTATTCATTCCTCAACTGAGGGGCATCTGGGCTGTTTCCAGCTACTGGCTATTACAAATAAAGCTGATATAAACATGGTTGAGTAGATGGCCTTGTTGTATACTTGAGCGTCTTTTGGATATATGCCTAGGAGTGGTATAGCTGGATCTTGAGGAAGTGCTATTTCTAATTGTCTGAGATAGCACCAGATTGATTTCCAAAGTGGTTGTACAAGTTTGTACAAGGTTTACATTCCCACCAGCAGT